GAGTCGATTGCGAGGAGCCATCAAGCGATACACAAGGCAAGATTCAGTTCGTACTGAACAATCTTACCGAGACCACCCTTCAAACCATGTGTCAAGAGTTGCGGGAAATTTTGGAACATCGTTATCAGCAATGGTTTGCAAGCCATCTGGTCGAGGAGCGAGCCAAGATGCAGCCTAATTATCACCAAGTCTACCTTGAACTGGTCAAGCTGTTCGAAGACAAGATTCTGTGGGGAGAGGTTTTGAGAGAGACGTACGTGAGCGTGGCTCGTATGCTCAACTCGGAGGCCACCATGCAGAACTCGACCGAACGGTCACACCTCAAGAATCTTGGAGGCTGGCTTGGTCTTCTCACTCTGGCTCGCGATAAGCCAATTAAGCACAAGAACATTGCCTTCAAACAGCTCTTGATCGAGGCTCACGACACGAAAAGGCTCATCGTGGTCATTCCCTTCGTTTGCAAAGTCATTCTCCAGGGAGTCAACTCAACCGTATTTCGGCCACCGAACCCATGGTTGATGGATATCATTCACTTGCTCATCGAGTTATATCACCATGCTGAGCTGAAGCTCAATCTCAAGTTCGAGATTGAAGTGTTGTGCAAGGGTCTTAACCTTGACCACAAAAGTATCGAGCCTTCCGGCGAGATTCTCAACCGTGCCGCTGTCGAAGATGCACAAGAGCTGGTTTCCCAAGACGCTTTGGAGACGTTTGAAAATCTTTCCCTTAACGGGATTTCCACGGGTGTCACAGCTGGCCTCTCTCCTCAGGTCATTGCTGCATCAATCCCAGATCTTGGCCCGCTCATTCACATTCCGCCTACGAACGAAATGGTGGTAACGGCTACCCGACTGCACGAGATTGTTCGGACTGCTCTTACGCAGGCTTTGCAAGACATCATACAGCCTGTGGTAGATCGATCCGTCACGATTGCTGCCATTTCCACCCAGCAAATGATTCACAAAGATTTTGCGACTGAGCCTGATGAGAACAGGGTCAGGACATCAGCCATCAGCATGGTGAAGGCGACTGCCGGAAGTTTGGCGCTGGTGACCTCTAAGGAGCCGTTGAGAGCCAACTTCACAAATTATATGAGGAACTCATCTAATGATTTACCGCAAGGGTTACCGGAAGGCACTATCATCATGTGTGTGAACTCAAATCTTGATCTGGCATGCAACATCATCGAGAAGCAAGCTGAGGAGAGAGCTGTGCCGGAGATTGAGGAGATGATTGAGCCTGAACTGGAAGCACGCCGTCGTCATCGCCTTCAGCGCCCTAATGAGCCATATGTGGATGCCTCTCTCAGTCGGTGGGCGTGGACGATTCCCAACCCGTTCAAGTTGTCGCCAAGCATGGGCGGCCTCAACCCTGAACAGATGGCCATATACGAGGACTTCGCCCGCCAGCCTCGGACCACCACTTCTAATGCTCCATCTCACGTACCCTCCGCTTCTGATGCGACTAGATCGCTTGCCAACGAAGTTCTCCAAGACCAGTTCTCCACAGTACCCAGCCTGGGAGCTACGGCAGATGCACCAGCCGTTCAACACCTCGGCTCTCAGGTTCAGCAGTACGCCCCCGTTCACAATGGAGCGATGCCTACCGCGAGGCCCCAAGCATTCCAAATGGACGGCCGCGCTTTGATTGAACGCGTCCAGAAGCTTCTCATGGAACTGCAGCGCGTGGCGACCGAAGCGCGCGAGGAACACTTCGCCGACCTCCCGAGGCCACATCCCGTCCTAGATGTGGTTGATGCATTGGTTCAGCATATGATCAAGGCATCGCAGACTTCAGACGAGTTTGCTGTTTTTGCTGCTGATCAAATTATCCAGCTCATTTTCAGCCCGATTGATGACAACTTAGCCTTGGAAAGCCTGGTCCATGTCCTGGAGACGTTGCGGAAGATTTCTGGCCCAACGCTGAACAACCGCGTCACTGCCCACTTCCGCCAACAGTCTGGAGCCACCTTCCTCCAAATGCCACTTCTCGCTGCACTGCTGCGCACCGACCTCCTCGACTGGAGAAACATTGATTTATCCATGTCCAAAGCGCTGCAGCAAAGGAAAGAAGGCTCGCTAGACTTCTTAGACCAGATGGTTGATCTGACTCTCCTCGGCAGCCGGCCAATGGCGCTTTATGGCGACTTTGTTCGGACACTCGAGGCTGCCTGGTCCTGGATACAGGACGAGCCAGATTCCGCTATCGGACAGCGCTTGAAGGCGAAGCTCTCTGGTCAAACACTGCCTCAAACTGCGCAACAGGAGAGCGAAGGCGCACTTCAGCAGGACCAAATGGAATATGTTTTTGACGAATGGATCCATCTTTGCAACAACCCTGACGGATCGGAGACCTCGTCCATCATGTTCGTGCAGCAGATGCAAATCAGAGGTGTTGTCAAGAGCAAGGACGACCTTTTTGTTTTCCTCAGAATCGCAACAGACATGTCGGTGGACAGGTTTGAGCACTTCGTCCATTCGACGGGAACCCTGACGGATGCCTTCCTCGCTGTGGATGCCCTCGCAAAGATGATTAACATTTTTATCAGACTTCACGGTGAAGCACAGCCTACTCCGACGCCAAGCCGAGCGGTCTACTTGGATTCTGTCTTGGCCTTTATCACTCTCGTGCTTAACCATCACCATGTGAAGCGCGCGGATCACTTCAACCAGAGAGTGTTCCATCGTCTGTTGTCGGTTCTCCTTTACGAAATCAGCTCTACTGCAGAGCAGCTCCCCGAGTCAGAGAGATCGGAGCTGTTCCTGAAATTCGCTGCCAGACTCGCAGACCTCGGACCGAAATATCTTCCTGGCTTCGTTTTCGGCTGGCTCTCCCTCCTCCAGCATCGGGCTTTCTTGCCTGCAGTAATGAAGGATCGCTCCGGGTGGGTGGCGTTTACCAGACTCCTGCAATTGCTCCTGGAACATATTGGCGAACAAGTCAAAGCGATCGAGCCCTCCAATGTAGCGCGAGAGATTTATCGAGCCACCCTCAAGCTACTCGTTATTCTACAGCACGACTACTCGGACTACCTCGCGGCACACTCACATCAACTCGTAGCTAGTGTCCCTCCTCACTGCAAGCAGCTTCTCAACGCCATATTGACAGCGAACCCAGCAGCCCATCCTAAGATGCCGGATCCTTCGTTTCCCGGTCTGCAAGCTGATAGAGTAGATGGTGCCAGGGACTCCCCTGAATGTCTAGACAACTCTGCGTCTATTCTGCGCGACTTAGGCTTGCTCGATGTCCTTGACCACGCGCTGCAGAACGGCCCGTCTGAGGATACATTAGCACACATCACGCGAGCCATTGTCGAAAGCCAGCGACCTGATACCGGTTTTGGGCATGTGCCCATCAATGCCAATTTGCGAGTGGTCGAGGCGGTCACTCTTCATGTCGGCAACTATGCTGTCCAGCAGTCAACTCAGAAGGGTACGGATGTCTTCAATCCAGCCTCATCAGATGTGGCCACAATGTCCATCTTGCTTCACGAGCTGCCTCCTGAGGCCCGCTACTACCTCATCACCAGCATTGCAAACCAATTGCGGTTCCCCAATGCCCATACCAACTACTTCAGCCGTATCTTACTGGAGATCTTCGGCCAGGACATGAATGACCCTGAGGAGACGGAGATCAGGCAGCAAATCACTCGCGTGCTTTGGGAACGCCTGATCGGCTACTGGCCCCAACCCTGGGGTCTCATGGTGACAGTTGTTGAGTTGCTCAAGAACGAGAAGTACATGTTTTTTGATCTCCCATTCGTCAAGTCAAACCCAGAGGTAAGTGAAGCAGCTTGAGCCGACTCCGTCGACATTCACCCGTGACTAATGTCGCGCCAAATAGGTCATTGAACGCTTCCATGCCATTTTACAGCGCGCATAAGAAACTGTGGAGAGATTTGGCCCCAATCTGACAATCATGTCTATTCACAAGACAAGGCGATGGCAAGGTGTGTTCCTCGGATCAATCGCGGCACAAGACGGGCGGGAAAACAGGCGGATTGGGGGTTCACAAAAAGGAGATATGGGCGGTGATTCCTTCCACAGGGCGTTCTACATGGAAATCACGGAAAAGAACCTGTAGTATTTATGCTAATGTACGATAATGAGAATTCTGGTGGTATGTTGGACATTCCGACCTAGAAGCGTTTGGCCGTCATTCCCTATTCGTCCAAGCGGCGTCGTGGCGACATGAAAGAGATAAACACATTTAGTCCTCTAAGGCAACGGAGGCTCGGGGTCTCGAAACGAATTCAGGTACAGGTAATTGTGTGTGGCAGCCATGGTGTCCAAGGATCGAGTCAAAGTAGACCAAATAGACAATACCTTAGAGAGAGACCTTGACAAATAGTCGTGGTACTCTGTATCCTCAGCCTAGCCTCCGACCCCCACCCCCGGTTGGTCTTCTCGCTCTGCACGACTTCCATTCTCCCACTCAAATAGTCTTGCATACGCGCGAGAGTAGACATCCATTTCCACAGCGACCTACGACCAACAATCAAGGCAGAAAATTCTCTAAGCTACATCCTAATGATGATGTTGCCGAATACAACAGAGGCTGACCACAGGAAGACACAATCATGCTTGTCTTCGAGCGAACAAGGCGGTACCGATTCGTTCCCCTCCAAAGGTCTTTTTCTCAATACTTCGCACGGTTACTAATTCGAGATGCCTGTTTGATATGTATTCCTGGAAGTTGTGGCACAGAGTGCTACACAAAGATGTCCACCCAGCAAGTAGTACACACACAAGAATACACGTTTCTATTGAAAGCAGGCTGGGCCTCGCGACTTCCTGTGCGGTCATGACCTAGCTGAGTCGCCGCTGATTTGCCAGAACGGCATACAAAATCACCGAACAGGCCTTCTTCAGGACCTCTGACGCTTTTCTTATTCATCGCACTCGCCTGGCGTGGATATCGTCATGGACCCTCTCTACCATGTGACCCAGACTCCCGCAGCCCCTTTCATCCCTGATTGAACCAGTATAAGCGATTGAGTATCACAGCTCTTCCTCGTCGACATTGGTACCCGAGGTGGCCGGCGCATTTGTCTGTGTAGGGACCCCACGGTTCATGACATCGCTCAAACCTGAGTTATTTGACTGGGCTCGGATTTGATCATCGCCGCCAGAAATACTCGGCCGATGTTTCTTCAAGGGGCTCCCAATTGTTCCCTCTATCGTAGCGTCGTTGCTAGGGTCCTGGTTCACGCCCTCGGAAACATCGCCATTGCCTGCAGCGCTTGCAGCGCCAATCAACGGATTACCGAACGCGCCCGAGTTTACAGAGTTATTGGTGGCACCTGCGTTCTCGGAGCGGTCGGGCTCGGCTGAATGTGCTCTCTTAAGCTGTTTTATGAGGAGTCAGGTGCCAAGCTTACACAAGAGGATGTGGGGAGTAAAACATACTCGAATACGGTTCACACCATCAGCAAGCTCCCCTTGAGATCTAACGTCCTCGGGGGCGAGCTTGTTATTGATGTCCTTTTCATCAATATCCTGCATCTTTCCAAGAAGTTCACTCTCGTCGTCATCGTCGTCACTGTCGTCATTGAGAGCTCCCCCAATATTGCCATTGCTCTTCTTGCGGGCTTTCCGTCGTCTGGTGGCCTCTGTATCCTGGTCTCTGAAGGCAGAAAATCCAACGGTGCCAGAGGTCTTCAAGGGGCCGAGGCTTGAAAAGTCTAGCTGCCCAGACCGGCGTTTGGCAGATCCCGGCGTTGCCTGGGCTGCCTTTGAAGAAGCAATGATGCCAATCTTCTGGAGTTGCCCTACGCATTGTTAGCCGCTTAGAACGCAACATTATTACATTTCTTGAGAAACTGGCCGACTTACTCTCCCCGCGGTAGAAGAATGTGAAAGAAGCATATGGCTTGTCGGGGCCATCGATACCCGTCACGGTCTGAGTACTAATAGTCTTCGGATCCAACGTCTTGGGCTTGGCAAAGCTTGTAGTGTGCTCCACGTCAGCATCGACGCCGCTCTTCCCATTGCCTTGCTTTCCGGACTCCGCGTCATCGTCATCGTCATGAGCATCGAACTGTGGAGAGTATTCTCCTTTTTTTATTTCGCCAGAAGCAAGCACACGGAACATCAGCACCTTGATCTGTCCAGTTGCCTCGGGGATCTCGTCATCGTCGGATAAGGAGTCAGAGTCGTCTTCGCCAAAGACAGCCTCAACAGGAGATCCGTCCTCGGCACCGTAGCGCAGAGTGTCTCTGGGGCCGTTGGGGCCTTCCTCAACTTGCATGCTTGTCGCTCCAGTCGTAGTCTTTTGTCTCCTGCGTCGCTTCTCGAACTTTTGACGGCGACGTTCCAGCTTCTCTGCCGCATCGTGACCTTGAAGGTCCAAGCCGTTAAGCCAACGCTCCAAGCCGACTTCGCGGAATAAAAATTCGCGCTCAGCAAGACCTCCGCCTTCAGAATCGGGTACCTGAACCCAACGACTGTTGACCCAGGTCTCCTCACCCGGTCGCAGAAGCGTGGCGACTTCCTCCTTGGATCTTCCGTCAAAGTATATGTAGGCGGCTATCGTCTCATTCTCAGAATTGGTCATGGGAATATAGGGGTTGACGACTCCGGAGAACTTCGAAGGACCTTGAGCGGCGGTGGGCAGGCCTCCGACGAACTGGGGCTTGGGATAAGGGTTCGTCTCGGTGGACTTCGGAGTCGAGTACGGGATCGGCAAGCCGGGTGTCAAGAGGGTAATTGAAATGGCGAACTTGGCAGGCTCGGGCTTGTTCGAATCGGGGTTGATGCTTGGCTGAGGCACGGGTATATAGGTGCTGATGCGTGACAGTCGTGACTGCTTTTGCATACCATGCTCGGGAAGAGGAGCACCGTTGGCATGTATGCTAACGGCAATCCCTTTAAAGCAGGGCATGGCTGCGAAGCGGACTAGAGCGCGTAGAAGCGCCGCAGTCCGAGCAAGGAAGGAGAATGGGCGAAGGGCACCGCGGTCGCCAGTGACAATGCGGCGGTCTGAAGGTTTTCCTTGCGAACGCGGCAGTCAGGCAGCTTGGTAAAGCTGCGTAATGTTAGCTGAAGGCCGTGGTTTGGGTGAGTCGTTGGGTCGATAGTTCCGTGGGTGGTTTGCGGGATTCGGTGCGGCACACGGCGGACGAGGTGGGAATAGTGGGGGGTTGCTTCTTGCCTTGGTGGTTGTCGAGAGGGACGCAAGCAACGGTGTTTTGCAAGAGCGACTCAGTGGCTCAACGATGTCAAAAACCGCAGTGGCGGGTAGCGAGTAGACTGCAGCGTAACAAGGTGGCAGTTGATGCGACTATGGGGTCGAAGCTGAAGTAGAAATTGCTCTTCTTCACCGTCTCCGAATGGACCTGGTTGTGGTGGATCTGACGACCGGGGGCAATGAGACCTTGGGCGAGGAGGCCTAGGTACAAATGGTGCGCATATTGTCCCAACGACAGTGGAGAGACAGAGGTGCGGGATCTGGGAGAGAAAATTGTTGAAAAGTAGAAGATGATGCGGCTGAAAAATACCAGAGTATTGTTGGCTACAGCGTGATGTGGTCGAAGTTGGGACAAGGCTCAAGACAATGGCGGCGGCAGCTGGCGGTGTGGGAGGGCAAGGAAGCGACAAGATAGTGCCCTGGAGGGGAAATGTTGCTTGGCTGTCCCGTGTCCGTGCTTGGATGTTCCCGCAAGTGCAGCTTCCTACATCCGCTGGGATCAAGTGCACTGGTGCACTGTGGGGGGGCTGGCACTTCCGTCCACGAGGTAACACCATGGCAGTGGCAGGTTTTGGTATTCTAGGCCGCGACTTATTGCCTCGACTTACCTTAGCTCCGTACCAGCGCTCAGGTGCCTCCCCGTCTCCTGTTAGGTATCACCGTATCAGCAGAGGGCGATGGCTGTGCATTTGCTTACCTAAGATACCTCACCTGGACCTTTTTAGATGGCGACTTGGGTGCTCGTGATGCCTAACGAACCCTCACGGTCAAGATTAGTATCTTCGTTTCGTTGCACTCCGAAGAAGTCGACGCAGGCAACTTTGTTGAAATTAATTAAATGAGTGGGTGCCGAATCCTCGGCGGGGTCTCTCAATAGTCTCTTGCTTTCTTCCATATCTCGACGTATTAACGTTACCCCGCCAGATCTCAGCAAAAGGTCAGCAACAATACCACCATAAGATAGCAAGCACCCCCTCATCAACTTCGATGCGATGACCTCCGCCGTACACTACTGGAACCTCCCTCACTATAACTCGTTCCAATGCCCGAGTCCCCCCTGAAGCCCCTTCCGTCATCTTCTTCCTCGTCGTCGGCCTCACCACCGAGCGGGAGCAGGTCCTCCACACGAGGCCCCGCATGCTGCTCGTCCTTGACTTCAGGCTCATACCGTAACGGAGCCTGGTTCCCATAGGTCGGGAACGTCCTCGGGGCATCCGACAGCTCATCGATGCCACTTCCTTCCTCTCGCTTGGCTTGCCCCATCGACTTATTGTACGACTTTTCCACGATTCCTCCATTGCCGATGCCAGAGCCCTGTGACGATCCTGAAAGCCCAGACCATGCCAGCCATGCCACCGCCATGAATATGATCTCGGATGCCCAGAATACCAGGACGGCAGCGGTCAGAGTCATCACGCGGTAGTTGTACATCAGCCAACGCAATCCCCGCAGTTGAGCAGTCAGCGTAATCGAGGCAGAGTATGTCTCGATATCCTGGCCGCCCTGAAGTTCAAGGTACGCTGAAGCGGGTAAGGAGGAGCCTCTGGCCAACTCCACGCGCTCGGCCATCGGTACGGTCAGTACGCAAGTTTCCGAATCGGAGAACAAAACGTGGTAGGCTAGGAAGAGGATTCGCGACGCTGTCGATACCATTGGATCTTGATATGGCACCAAAGCGGGCCGCCTTGAAGACAAAAGGACTGTCTTTCCGTCGAAATGAGCATAGGGTTCAGGAGCGATATGAGGCTGTATTTTGTTGCTTCCCGTCGACAAGGCTCCAACATCCAGCAGGTGGATAGCAATCATGAAGTTGCCTCGTTGTGTGTTGGCAGGCGAACGAGGCATAGACAACGTGACGGACACATCATACTCCTGCTGCGATCTCAGAGCAGACGTCGGGATGGTTGCTGTTCCAAAGGGATTTGCACCTGATCTAGAGGTGAGGTTACTTTTTGGTTGAATCAAACGGAAAGCAGGCGGGAAGCGTGAGGAGGACTCACCCGTACTGGAGGTGGACTGGGGTCGTCACTACTTGCTCAGGTAGGTAGTCGCGGAAAAAAAGGATAGAGGCGATAGCAGCAAAGGGCAGCAGAAATAACGACGTGCCGACGAGGAGGCTCGCGTTCACAATTGTCCTCTGTGCAGTTTTGGACGTGGCCACTCGAGACGCCTTGCTCAACACCTCCTACCAGCGCCAGACTTAGAATCTCAAGGACCAGCGAATCGTTATACTGGACAGAGAGCGTACCATTATATCCGAGAACAGATGTGATTGTATGCTCTTGGAGCTCAAGGGAGTAGTCTCAATAAACAAGGTAGGCGAGGGGGGTGCTCCAGCTGGAGGTTCGGGAGCAAGTTGTGGTAAAATGATGTCGTCCGATTTACAAGCGATGTCGTCCGAAGCATACGACTAGTTGCTTCACCAAGCTATGCGTGTATAGTGTCGTCGTTGTGCAGGGGGTGAGCGGTTACCTGTAAGGTGCTCCGTCCTTGCCGTGAGGTAAGACTAACGTAGTCAAGTGGGCCGTTGAAGGCAGCACCCTGCGCTTCTAGAAAGAAGCGACGCAATTTGGGCTCTGACTTTGAACGGGCCAGAGCTCCTGGTCACGCTTGATGTTGATGTTGAGATGTGAAAGTGACGCGCAGTGGATTTGAAGCTCAAGGCTTGAGCTACTCTGAGCCAAGGGATGACGGTGGGCAAGGTGGCTGGCTCAAGCCCCGGGCGTTTAAGGTACCTTGTCCATACCAGTTGAGAAAGCTGTGGTGCTGGGCTGACACGCCGCCATTTCCATACCTAAGTATCCTTCGCCCGCGCCAGCTGGAATTTGCTAATCTTCCCGATGGCTTGAGCTATTGCCTCGACGGGAAGGAGTAGCTTGGCAGGCGTGCAGGATTGTTGCCCATTCATACATATTGGAGGCTATCTACCTTCCTCAACACGACAGCTGCTTCAACCGACATGTGACATTCCGTGGGCAGCAGTTACTCATACCTAACACATACCATACCGTAAGGTATCATCTTATCATCAGTACCTTCTCACAAACCCACTGCGAAACCAGGCGATAGTAAAACCCCCTGTTAAGTATTTGTGGCGCACGTAGTCAATCTACACAGTACTCCGTAAGCAGAGATACTTCGACTTCAACACGGTGTGCTTCAGCCAGTCAAATTACCCAAACCCTTAGGCAGGTGGACCGCTGCCCGCAAATACACGGCCAGGGATTAAACTTACCCACCATACCATAGTACGTACCGATGGGTATCGACGTGGGGAGACCCCGAGGTCGATGTACCTGACCATACCCGTACAGTGTTTCATACGTAGGTAGCCACATATTACTGCGTACGTGGATCAGGGATGGCACTGTACTCTTGGCGGAAATATCCGTGCGTACGTTAAGAGGAAAGTATGGATAAGAACACCCCAATTCCCAACGGTCAAGCAATGCGATGTACAGATGAGATAGGTAGTGAGGTATAACAGAGGCACAAAGGTGAATGCAGTCAAGAGTGTCACAGTGAGTACCGATGAATCTGTGCTTCCAGGTGGAGCTATTTTCCATTTGTTCACTTATTTTGACGCGGCGTAGCCAATTGCAGTAATCCATCCACACTGCGTGAACTCTTTTTTCCTCAACGCTGCCGATACAAATAAACGCCCAGTAAGCGACTCATGAAACAATAGTCCTGGCCGGCTCAGAAATGGCTTCACAACATGATCTTCAAGAACTGCTGAGGGTCATCACCTCTCGGAAGGGAGTGACGATGATGGCTGCAATGGGCCAGGTCAAAGCACTGCAAACAGTGGAGCTTCGAAGGTATGTTGATCGAGTGCGTGGTTCTGCTTTTATATCCCACCAATCTCACGTGTATGTGAGTAGCATCCAGCAGATTAGTGACGCTCCGCTCGACCTGGTAGAGCGTGGTCTAGGTGACTCAAAGTCGGCCAAGGCTTTACAGACCGCATGCAAGACCCACCTGAAGAGGGCAAATACCAAGAGATCCGGGGATCATCTTAGCTCTCCAAGTGGGAAGCGTCCCAAAAGTTATCACCCCAGCGACAACTCCGAAGGTCCTGCCCAAAGTGTAGAGGATATGGAGGCTGCCCTGAGTCTTTCCGTGGTTACGGACGAGAAGGAGATCGCCGAGGCGTCCATATACACCAATCGGGCGCCACTGATGTTGGCCTTTGTGTTGGAACTTCTCAGGCACACAATGCCAATGCAGCCCATGTCGAGTCGTCTAAGCTTGGCCCAGGCTGTTGTAAGCGCCAACTCAAAGTCAAAGGCCATCAGCATTGGACTGACCAAGGCCGCCAACGAAGACAGCTCGTGGGGCGAAGGACAGCCAAAGGTCAACATCATGGGCAGAGCTATAGCTGTTCTCAAGAGAGGCGACTTCGATTTGCAAGGCAGCGGTTTGGTAGCCCCGGAATCTCCAGGAAGGGCTTCAGGTGATGGTCTACAGGACAGGAAGCCGTTAGACTCCTCGAAGCAAGACCTCGGCAGCATTGCGTTCACGGAAAATCAGTGGTCTGCCAGCCGTCAGGTCACTTTCAAATCATCGACCTTTGTTGCAAGGGTGGCAAACGTCGAGGACGGCACTCAGGCATCAGGTCTCCTTAGGTCCCTCCTACTTTCCGAGCCACAACTACAAACGGCCACGCATAACGCCTGGGCCTATCGAGTGAAGAGCAGAGGGCAAGGCGACAAGCAAGACAAGGGGCTGGAGGAGGTACGCGAGGCATGTGAGGACGACGGCGAAACTGGCTGCGGCGAATTCATACAACGACTGATTAGGGAGGCCGGCATTGTTGACGTGATCGTAGTGCTGACTAGGTGGTTCGGAGGGGAGATGCTAGGCACAGATCGCTGGAGACTGATGCGGAACGTCGTCACAGAGGCACTCTCCCAGAGGCTACGATTCACACAGACCCAGGGGGCCTGTGATGATGTGGCCTTATGGGCCCTGGATCTTCAGAACATGGACAATGGACTTGGCAGCCGCAGTGCCAGCGGAACAAGTGGTAACGTCGTCGGAATTCCTACCTATCGCCCGGAATCGGCTCGGGCGTACCTACTTAAAAGTTTTGCTTCCGGCCAATCTGAAGGTGTTCCCACTGGCGACAATCCCGGCGGGAGTGCTTCTAAAGCCAAGCAAAAGAGGGTCAGCAAATCGGAGGTCGATAGCGAGAGAATGCGCAACCTTGGCCGTCTCCTCGGAGCTCTCAGGCTGCTGTTCGATAGCTGGAGCAGCCTTGGACCTCGTGAGATGGACCGCAAGGCATACTCATGGTATGCGTCTATCAGACCAGATGTACAGCCAGGGGTGGCAGGATGGGGCGCCAAAGGTTGGCTGAAGCTAGATTCGATACTTCGACTACGTCGAGATGACCCATAGTACGGGGAAATAGATTATCAACCTGGCAGTATGCCCAAGCCTTTGGCAAACCAAAGCGCTCACGTTCGCTTTCAATATCTGCAGGCCGGGATTGGGTAGAACACAAACCCGTTGTCCAGGACATAACAATGCCATATATTATCTACACGTAATACGGAAACCGATATCTGAACCGCATCCGCGTCTCCGCCGAAACTCCGTTGGTAAGGCACTCACTGCTTGGCGGAAGTGCCGTGGTCCCAGGGAATTAAAATTGAAGACATGGTGGGACCGGGGCGGGATGCTCCCTGTTCTAGCCTGGTCCCACATAATGACCGTAAGCCAGGTACCTTGATTTGTGCACCTACCTTAGCTTCCTTAGATAAGGTGATTCACCTCTGATAAGGATATCTTATCAAGAATACTGGACCTGATGCTTTACTCACGGGTCATTAAACACCATGGCTGTGCGCACACACACATCACACCTCGCTAGGCAAGGTCAGTATTCTTGCATACCACTTCTGTAAAGACGCAGACGTGGCAAGGTGATACCATGGGTAGCTGCGCCATCATCCAACCCCCCCGCAACTACTTCTAAAAACACCAAAATATACTTTGTGTCGGCTCTGGTAGCGGTTGCGAACCATGCTACACTTTGCAACCGGCACGAGCGCCCCTCGCCGGGCTGCCTGTAGCTTTCTAACAATATCTCGACGGCTGGCCTCAACTCGATCCGCGGGCCAAGGTGCAAGAGCTCCACGGCCGTTAGTCCAACCAATCCTCTTCCCAACATAAAGTGCTAACCATACTGCAGCTACGCTACTCGTCGTGCTAACCAACTTAAACCCACTCCCACCACTTCGAATACTCTCGAAACAGCCGATGCCATCTTCAAGGCCAGAAAGATACCTTTGCTTGCCTCCGGGGTAGTAGCTTTGGGTCTAGGAATCTATATCAGCCTTTTGGCATCCTCGTTCTATTCCTCGACCTGCCACGAGAACCCAGAACCAGCGCCAGATGCAGTTCCGACAGGGCGACCCCACGCCTTCACCAAGGATTCTGCTAAAAGATTTGACCAAAGTCTCGAGGGCTCGGAATGGCTAATGGGTATCACTTCTCTGCGGAAAAGGCTTGCTGCAGAGGCTTCTGGACATGTGCTCGAAGTCGCCATGGGCACCGGCCGTAACCTTCCCTTCTACGACTGGAGTCAAATTATCAGCTCTCGGAACTCAGCAACTCAGGCACTTGCAGCACCAAAAGCCAATGCACGACCATCCAAGTTCGAAGCATCACCGATGATCTCCTATACGGGAATCGACATTTCTGATGAAATGCTCGGCGTTGCTGTCGAAAAGCTAGCAGAAACTGTGCCAGAGCTGGCTGATGTCGACCCAATAATTGAGAAGGAAACTGTGCCGTCTCCGGCCCAGTGGAATGATATTTCCTACCTTGCAGGAAGACTACGAATACTCCGATCAGACATTCACGAACATATTCCCTCGCCCCCACAGCAGCCTTGTCCGCAAGCTAAATACGACTTCATCTGTTCAACATTTTCCCTCTGCAGTGTCCGCGACCCGGAACAAATGGTTCGGGATTTGGCCAGCAAAGTAAAGCCGAACACAGGCAAGATCGTCCTAGTCGAGCATGGTAGAGGATGGTGGGGATTTGTTAATGGGCTACTTGATAAGTCTGCAGCTTCTCATTTCCAGAGTAAGATTGGTTCTTCCACGATAATCATCAGCACGAACTAACTCGCCTGCTCTTTCAGAATACGGATGCTGGTGGAATCGAGACATTGCTGAGATTGTCGAGAACGCCGCACAGTGTACACCAGGACTTCAAGTCACAAGGGTAGATCGCCCG